CCTGGACCTGGACAGCATCATTGAGGAGGTTCGGCGCCAGTACGAGCAGATCGCCCAGAGCAGCCGGGCTGAGGCTGAGGCCTGGTACCAGAGCCGGGTGAGTTGGGAAGGGGTCAAGGTTCTTGGGACAGTCCCCGCTGTTTGAACCACCTGAGTTTTTGGTCAGATGTGTCCCTGATGGGTGGCTTTGTTCATGCCTACAGTACGAAGAACTCCAGAACACTGCTGGGAAACACGGGGACAGCCTCCGCAACACCAAGATTGAGATCCAGGAGTTGTCCAGAAATGTCCAGAGGCTGCGGGCTGAGATTGAGAATGTGAAGAAGCAGGTAAAGGACCATCAGCACCTCATTGGGTAACAGCTGTGTGCTGGGTCAGGATGGGGCTGGGTGGTGAGAAGGAAAGCAATCAGGAAAATTCACACCCTTTGGAGGAGATGGATTATTTCTGCTTGTTTTCCCTCCAGTTTGTGCCACGAGGATGCTCCAGTAGAGGGTGGGCAGAAGGGATCTCACACACTGGTTTTCTCTTCCTCAGAACCAGCAGCTGCAGGCAGCCATCGCTGAGGCCGAGGAGAGGGGAGAGATGGCTGTCAAGGATGCCAGGAGGAAGCTGGAAGAGCTGGAATGTGCCCTGAACAAGGACAAAGAGGAACTGGCTCGCTTGCTGAAGGAGTACCAGGAGCTGCTGAACACCAAAATTGCACTGGATGTTGAGATTGCCATGTACAGGAAGCTGCTGGAGGGGGAGGAGAACAGGTACTTTATTGGCATCAATTTGACTAAATTCTTAACAGATTATAGTATGTGTGGGTAAAATCTTTGAATCCACACTAATTACTGATTTTGTGTTATTCACGCTCTATTTCCAAGTATATATTAATTATATTAAGCATAAACATACTTAAGTGGGTTTTCCATCTTAAAATAATATGAACGGTAAGGGTTGCTCACTTCTTTAAAGAATAATTGGAAAAATCGGAAAAAAATTGAATAGGTTGATAATTTTTAAATAATAATTGAGAAATATAAACTTGTTCAAAACGGGGAAATTCTTAGCTGAAGAGCTATGCACTTCCCAGAAGAATAATTTGTCCAATTTTCCTTCACAGGCTGTGCAACGACAGCATGTCCAACGTCAATGTCTGTAAGTATCCGCCCTGGGGTCCTTCAGAAGTAGTAGAACTTGTTCTTTTGGGCAACGGGACATAACCTGTGCTTCTCTTCCAGCTGTGGTGGGCAGGACGACTGTCTCTGGAGGCAGAGGAGGCATGGGAGGCGGATTCGGAGGCAGCGGCATGGGAGGCGGATTCGGAGGCAGCGGCATGGGAGGAGGATTCGGAGGCGGCAGCTGTGGAATGGGAGGAGGATTCGGAGGCGGCAGCGGCATGGGAGGAGGAATGGGAGGAGGCGGCATCTGCGGAGGAGGCAGCAGCTTTGGAGGAGGCAGCATGGGCGGCAGCTGTGGGATGGGGGGAGGAATGTACGCTGGCGGCTTCTCCTCTGGAAGCGGAAGGATGTGCGGCTCTGGCGGGGGATCCTCCTCCGTGCGGAGATGCGTCACCACCACCTCGGTCAAATCTTCGGGAGTGAGATTCTGAGTCCCGAAGGTTGACAAGGAAAGAAGCACCTCCTCTCTCTTCCTGACAGCAGCCCAGCCTCCTGAAGCCCAGCTCTGGTGTCTTGCAATGGGATGAACTGTGTCCCTCCCACCCAGCTTGTCCCAGATTCTGGTCCCACCCGGCGGTTTGGTGGCGATGCCGTGGGTGTCCCGGCACCGGGAGCTGCCTGGCAGGAGGGGCTGTTCTGCCTTCCTTGCTGTGTTGTACATTTCTTGTGGCAAATGTGTATAAAACTCCTCTTTCCTCCTCTCTCCTCCTGTTCTGTGTCCCCACATCCCTTCCTCTGTGTGTGTATCCTGACGCCCTTCCTTGGGATGTTGCCATTCCCAATAAATTGCAGAGAACATTCACGATGTTGTGTCGATGCTTCAGGAGCCACTCTGGGCAGAGTGGTTCATGCTTTGGGGAGGCAGCTTGTTATGAGGCTGGGGGTCATTCTTTGCTCAGTGTGTTGTACCTGTGCTTTGATGGAGGTGGACAGCTGCGGGTGGACCAGGGCAGCCATCACAGCTCAAGTGATGACTGATTCTCACCTGAGGGCACAAGTCCAGGTGGTGCATGCTGGATGCTCAGTTCACACAACGCTCAGTAACTGAGCCAGCACAAGACCAAACTGAGGAATACAGGAGCCTGCTCAATTTTTAGGCATCTCCTGACTATAGTGAATAATCCAGTTCATCCCTGGAATCCTGTAGAGTTACTCCCACAGCAGATTTCTGCAATTGTTGGGTCTGGAAATCTCCAGCACAAAGAGTTCCAGTATATTCCCAGTCACTGAGCTGCCACGTCCCAGTGTTTTGGGCTCAGTTTTAGGCACACAGAGGCACTCAGTGCCTCAGTGCCCCAGTGGCCACATCACATCTCTCCAGATGTGGCAGCACTCCAATTCCTGAAGCTCTAGGAAAGAGACTTTCTCAACCCTTCTTGAATTTTGGAAGCTCTGCAAAGGGACTGCAAAAACCTGTGTCCTGGGATTTAGGCAGGAACATTCCCAGTGCCTTGTTGCCAGACCAGTAGAGACCCACAGGGGCTGATGGATAATGAGAATCAGCAGCAGCAGATGGGAGCCAGCACTGGATAAGTGTCATCTAAGGTGACTGCTTCTGAATGGTGTTTGGGCTGTGATGAGGGAGTGGCAGGGCAGGAGCCCCTTGGGTGGGAGAGCTGGTGAACATGGATAACAATGGATCAGGATGTTGGTCAAGCACCTGCCTCTGGTGCACACCTGGGCTGTGGACGGCCAGGTGGGAGGCACAGCTCAGCACTCAGAGAGAGAGGGAGCACCGGAGAGCCATGTACCACCCCTGACTAGTTGTGGGAACACGATGGGCTGTGAAGGTGTGATTCATCCCCATCCATAAGCCCAGGTAGCATCCTCTCCCTGAGAAGCCAATTAATTCTCCAGTGGCTCATCCTTGCTCCAAGAGCCGGAGAGAGAGATTTGAAGGAGCTCAAGGTGGGGTTTGGGAGGGGAGTCCGGAATGTTTGATCTGTGGCTCCTCCACCACCTGGAGAGATCAAAGAGGCAGAAAATGCTGTCAGTGGTAGTTCAGGAGTTCCACAACAGCCTCTGGGAGTAGCTGATGTTCTCAGAGTGGATCAGGAAGCTGCAGACTGAGGAAGAGGTACAGGAAAGTCAGTGGGCTCTTGGAAAAGGGGATTCTCCCTGCTTTGAAGGGTGCTGGAGCTGGGATTGTGACTAGGTTTGGCCCAAATAAAGATGCTGAGTAGGCAATGCCTGTGTGAAGCTGGTGTTGTGCCAGGAGCACTTTGAGGTTTGCCTTGGGGCAAGAGTCACCTGTTTTGGTGCTTAATCACCTGTTTCGGTGTATAATTTTAAAAGCCTGTTTCTTCTAAACTTTACAACGAGCTTTACATGGCGTTGTAGCGCTGCTGTGAAGAGTCATTGCGACACCTCCTCCGTGCTCTTGGCTGGGTCAGATGCGAAGCTGGAGCGCAGCTCAGTCTCGATTCATGTTTTCTGCCGAGTTCACATTTTCCCTGGTGTTGATAATTCTGCTGTGCACAGCTCCTTGCACAAGAGATCTGAGGGCATGGCTGGAGCCCAGCTGCCTGTTGAGTTTTACCTGGAGGAGACTCAGGTGACTCCAGGTTTGGAATAATCTGCACATCTCGTCTGAAGACGTCAGAGTGACTCAATCTGGGCGTCTTATCTGCAGGAGCTGAGTGTGGTCAGCACCCAGGCATCTGGCTGACTTTGCAGATCTTCCTCCTCGTTGTGGAACTTCCTCGTGGAATATTCCAGTGAAGTCCTGGTGCCTTCATACCATGGGTTTGGCAGCTAGGAGGGAGGCCAGGAGAAGGAACAACCTGTTTTCCCCACCTAAACCTGAGCCACTCTGCAGCTGGCCCGGGCTGCTCGTCATGAACAAGTGCGCTGGGCTGCAGGATGGTGTGGAGAACTTAAATCTCCATCTGGGAGATGACCACGGAGAAACCAGCCCATCTTGATTGCAGCTGCTTTTGGAAAGGAGGGCTTCCCCTCTGTGCTGTGGGGGTGCTGTCCATTCTCCAGCTGCAGGAACACACACCTGGGTAACCTTTGGCCAACCATGACTTGTGTCCCTCAAGGGTGGGACAACCCTTTGCCAACTGTTCAGTTCCTTAATGGAGGGATAATTTTTGGCCAGCTAGTCAGTTGCTGAATAACTGTTGCCAACTGTTGAGTCCCTAGGGGTGGGATAATCTTGGCCAACATTTGAACCCCCGTCAAGAGTAACATCGTCTCCTTCCTCCCATTCCACACAGTCTGTGGCTCCAGAAGCCTCATCCCAGTGACAGTCAATGACATTCATGTTTCCGATTCCTCCAGTGGCTTTTGGAAGTGTTTTCCCTGGCTGGTTTTCTAAAGTGTTTGCTGTGTCTGTGGCCACCAGCTGATTCCTAGGAATGCTTTCAAACCACATTTACCTTCCCAAATCTCTCTGGTGTGACCATG